GTATCCCTGTACAGCTATTTTTCCTTCATTCAGTAGGGAAGCCTTGACTTAGGCCTCATCATCACCTGTCTGAGCATTCTACCTAATTCTAGAGCTATCACTTCACTCTTTCTACTAGCCAAAGTTATTTTTTAATTACTGTATAAGATAACCAAATAGTCTCAAACCAAACATGCTATTTCTCTTTGTGCACCTCAAGATGAATTTCACATTCATTTAGCTTTGCATACACTGTGTATCAATCAGTCACTAATTCCAACAGGATATGGGTTTCATACTTAAAATATGATAATTCAACACGGTCTATTTACAAAAGTGAGGGTGGAGGGCAGAGCTTCTCAAGTACAGTGATTTTTCTCTTGGGACATTTGTTGATGTCTGGAGACATTATCAAGACTGAGGGGGGTTGAGCATACCCCTGGTATCTAGTGAGTGAAAGCCAGGGATGTTGCTAAACACCCTACAATGCGCAGGGCAGCACAGTACAGCACAGAATTAGACAACAAAATGGCAAGAGTGCCAAGTTGAGAAATATTGCTACAGAGTAAGCTCTTGTTAAATGCTTGTCAAACTGAAGTAAATGTGAACCACAACCATAATTCCCAGGTGAAACTAACTCTGCTTGAGTCAACTGAAGAGGAATCATGATGGGTAACCTGTGTGGAAAGACGAAAACTCCACCTCATGTTGTATTAGTCAGGAATCTCCAGAAAGACAGAACCAATAGGATGGATATAAATTCTATATTAGAGGAAATATGTTATGGGAATTGACTCAGCAATTATGAAGGTCCACAAGTTCCACATCTGACATCCGTAACTGGAGACCCTGCGGTGATCATTAATATTAGGTGTCACCTTGATTGGACTGAGGGATGCCTAGATGGCAGGTAAATTATTGTTCCTGGGTGTGTTTGTGAAGGTGTTGTCAGAGGATACTGACATTTGAGTCTGTGGACTGGGAGAGGAAGACCTGCTCCCTGTGTGGGTGCACACCATTCAACTGGCAGCCAGCACTGCTAGAACAAAGCACGTGGAAGAAGGTGGGATAAGTTTGCCTACCAAGTCTTGGCTCTCTTTGTCCTTCTTGTGCCAGATGCTTGCTTTCATTCCCCCTGTCCTTTGAGATCAGGTTCCAGGTTCTTTTGTCTTTGGACTCTGAGACTTGCACCGGGAGCTTCCTGGGAACTCTTGGGCCTTTGGCCATGCAGAAGGCTACATTGTCAGCTTCCTTGGTTTTGAGGCTTTCAGACTTAGGCTGAGTCTCTACCGGCTTCTCTCTTTCCCCAGCTTGTAGGCAGCCTAATGTGGGACTTCACTATGTAAATGTGTGACCCAAATCTTTCTAATAAACTTCCTTTTATATATGCATATATCCTATTGATTCTGTCCCTTGGGAGAAGTCTGACTAATAACACCAGGAAAGTGGGTGGCAGAATTCCCAGTCTGAAAACCAGGGAAGCAGAGATGAGGGTGGTGGTGTAAGTCCCAGAGTCCAAGAACTCTGCCATCCAAGAGCAGGAAAAGAGGGTGTTCCAGTTCAATGGGAAAGAGAGAATTTGCCCTTCCTCCACTTTTCTGTTCTATCTTGGATTGAATGATGCCTGCCCACATTAGTAGAGAGGATCTTCTTTACTCAATCCACTGATTCAAATACTAATGTCTTCCAGAAACACCCACAAACACCCCTATAAAAACCTAAAAATAATGTTTTACCAGCTACCTGGGCACCCTTAACCCAGTCGAGTTGACACATAAAATTAACCATCATGACCCTGTTATCTGGATTAAATTTACCCATTTGAAGAGTATTGATCAGCAACAATTCATCTATCTTATGCGGCTGAGGTCTTTCAAGACTTGTCTGGTGTGTTTTGTAATCCCGGAGTATCATTTGGCTACAAGGAAAGGTTTCAGAAATAAGCTTAGATATTCAGTATGGTTTGGATTTGTCTCCCCGCCCAAATCTCACGTCGAATTGTAACTCCATTGGTGAAGGAGCCTGGTGGAAGGTAACTGGATCGTGGAGGCAGATTACCCCCTTGCTTTTCTCGAAAAGAAAACTGGAAGGTGCCGAGAGACCAAAGAATGGCTCAGACAAGTCTAGATTGATGAGTAGATAAGTTTATTTTTACTTACATACAGGGCACTCTTGGATGGTGGATTGCTTTTAAGCTAATTTTTTTGGCTCTTTGCTGACTTTGAGCAATGTGACTGTTTTTCTTGGTATGTTCTCAAATATTCTCCAGGATGTTTGGGTTCTCAGGAAAACCAGGGGTAGGCACCATGGCCTTGGCTCACCGCCCTGCCTTCAGGGTTCAGGTGGCTGACATATACCCTTAGGTAACCTGGCGGCGGACCTGTCACACTGCAACTACCTATGATTTGCATAAGGAGATGTATTTTCCAACCACATTGTAGTACTAGAGAAAATGCAACATGAATTTGTATTATTAACTAATTTGGAGCTGTTATTCTGAATAAATAGCTAATATTTTTCTCAATAAAAAAGGTAGTTGCAAAAGCATGATATTATGCTGTTTGTATATCGCTTGTCTCAAATATATCAATTTATTGTTTTATGCCAAAACAGGCAGCATAACACATGGTACAATCATCTCTGTTCTCTTCTCTGCTTCCACAACAGAATTGAGTAATCAGCCATGCCACTCTTTCCCTCTGAACCTGGGCATGACCTCAGATTTCTTCTGTACATAGCACTTCAGGAAGCTGCTATTAATAGAAAAGAAGTGGCAATTCCAGTTAAATTTATCTACATTTAGTTGGCAAAAATATTGACTCTGGGTAGGCCTTATTAACAAATAAATACGTACCCGGAAAGAGTGATTCAATGACACTTTACCTTAGTTTATTTAGTCTATCATCTCCTTATTGACACCTGATAAAATAGAACTTGTAATAATTTAGTTCTGACAAAAGGGTTGGAACCATTGGGAAGAAATTTTCCAAGGCAAAATGTGATTAAATGTAATACACATAACAAATGTGTATCTCTAATCTCGATCTCTTTCCTGATCTCCAAACACGTGTATCTAAATTCCTACATGACATGAGTACTTGCATGTTCAACAGACATGTCCCAAAATTAAAATGCCCTAAGAATTTCTGCTTCCTACTAATTTGGAATAACAGAAATTGGATTTAACCACCAGCAGCAGAATCCTAGCCTTATACATCTACTGATCAGACGACATATATGAAACAATAATTTTCAGCCATTGGACATTGGTAGTATGCACAGTGATCCCCCAGGAGAAGAAAAAAATGAGTAAGATGAGCCCTATGCTTACTATCAGCTTACTGCTTGGACAGCTTCCAGCTATAGAGGAGACAGAAGAAACCCAGAGCAAAGGTGTCTCACTGAGTAGAAAAGAAGAGATCTCGGTTGAGAAAGGCCAAAGCAGCTAGAATGTGTGAGGCAGAGAGGATTCAAGAACTGCAGAAGAGCACCCTGAGTCATTGTCTGAGTACTGATGTGAACACAGGAGGCAGAAAACTATCTGAGTCTGGAGGAAACTCCTTGAAAAATCAGCAGACAGAAAAATTCTAAACATTCACACAGGGTGGAAAATACTCAATGTTTCCACCAGCCAAAGGAGAAAGACCTTGTAATACGTGGAGCATTGGGTAAAATGCTCAGAAGAGTGTCCCCTTAGTATTGGGGATAAGGTAAATTTGAACCAAAAGGTGCCCTGGATTCACCCTAACAAAGCGTAAGGCAGGCCTCAGAATGAGCAAACGGATCCCAAGCAACTTAACTAACTGCGTGCCAGCACATCGTTCAGCTCTATGTAAAGGAGTATGACAAAAGGTAGCCTCTGACACAACAAAATGTATAATATCTGTCTTCAAACAAAACAACAGACATGAAGCCAGACAAGGTGGCTCATGCCTGTAATCCCAGCACTTCGGAAAGCCAAGGTAGTCATATCACTTGAGGTCAGGAGTTTGAGACCAGCCTGGCCAACATGGTGTAACCCCGTCTCTACTAAAAATACAAAAATTAGCCAGGTGTGGTGGTACATGCCTGTAGTCTGAGCTACTTGAGAGTCTGAGGCAGAAGAATGGCTTGAACCCGGGAGTCAGAGCTTGCTGTGAGCCAAGATAGTGCCATTGCACTCCAGCCTGGGCGGCAGAGTGAGACTCCAACTCAAAAATAATAATAATAAGTTTAAAAATAATAATAATAACAGACATCAAAGACAGAGGATATAGGACTCATAACCAGAAGGAAAGTCACTCAATAGCAACAGAACTAGATTTACAGAGATGATGAAATTAGCAGACAGAAAATTTTAAATTCTATTATAATTATACTCCATACACTTAGGGAAGTCAAATAAAATATTAACATTATGAGGGAAGAAGTGGTAGATATATTATTTTTTAAATTAAATATAGTTTGTAGAGATAAAATTATATCAGAAATTAAAAATATAACAAAAAAGATTAACAACAGATTAAACCCTACAAAAGTGAAATCAGTGAACTTGAAAATATTAAAGTAAACTTAAAGCAATAGAAAATATCCAAAATAAAGCACAGAGAAAAAAAGACATTTTTAAAAAATGAACAAAGCATCATGACCTTATCAATAATATTGCTTGACACTATCGAGCAGTCTAACAGCATGTAGTTGAAGACTCAGTAAAGGGAAGTGACAGAAAAAAAAAAAAACCCTTAAAAAATAATCATCAAAAATATTCTTAACTTGATGAAAACATAAGCCCACATATCCCAGAAACTTTAGGAACCCCAAACAGAAGAAAGATTAAAACCACACCATGGGCACATGTTCTCAGGACCTCCTGATGCTTTGTCACAGGCAATATATATATATATATATATATATATATATATACACACACACACACACACACACACACATATAATGTACATAAATTACACATATGTATGTGCATAATTTATACACATATATATACATAATTTTCAAAGAAAGAAAATACTGGGTTCCAGTGATAAGCCCTACAAAATGTAAAGCAGAGAGAAAAGATTTCCTTTGTGTTTTGGTAATACCCTCCAGCACATCAAATCAAATTACTGTTATGAGAAAAACTTAGGACTATAATATTCTCCCCCCAAAAACTAGGAAGGTGCCAAGAGACCAGAGAATGACTGGGACAAGTCCAGCTTAACAACCAGATGAGTTTATTAGGACTTACATACAGGTCACCACACCAAGGCATATTATAATCAAATTGCTGAAAACACATGACGACGTGAAAAGTTTAAGATCGACCAGAAAAAAAAGTATAATAGAGTCAGAGGACAAAAATCAGTATGACAACAGAATTCTTGTCAGAAACTATAAAAGTCAGAAGACACTGAAGCAAGCAAACTTACTGATTGGGGTTGGGTAGGAGGGAGGCAGGAACTGCTGACCCAGAATTCCATCTCCAGTGAAAATATCTTTCAAAACTGAAAGTAAAATGAAGATGTTTTCAGAAAATGCTGAGGGGATTAGTCACCAGCAGATGTGGACTAAAAGAAATGTTAAAGGAAGTTCTTCTGAGAGAAGGAAAATTATACCAGATGCTAATTTAGATCTACATGAGGGAAGGAAGAGCGCTATAAGTAATCAATACGTAGATAAATAGAAACATGAACACATTCTAAACTGAGCTCTTCATCTTCTGAGGATCTGCTTCTGACTCATCCTTTTCTCAATGCATTTACTGGCCACTCCATTCTTTCATGTCCAGGTAGAACATTTGGGAATCAGAACTGATTGTCTCTTTCCCACACCTCCTACATCGCATCATCAGCAAAGGCCAATGGCTATAACTCCAGGACGGGCTCAGGGTCTTGCCTCACAGCCGCCTCCTCCATACTCACTGCCACCACTTCCCCTCAGTTATTGCAGTGGCCCCATGCTAGGCCTCTCTACTACCATGCTGGCCCCCACTCCAGTGTATTCTCAATGCTGCAGTCAGAGGACCCTAAACGCTTCCGAAGGTTCATGCCACACCTCTACTGGCGAAAGGCCAGTGCTCCCCATATCCAGAGAAAAACCAAACTCTTGCTGTAGCCCACAGGCCCCACTGGTCCTTCCTTTCTCTGCCTTTGCATGGTTCTGTGCTTGTCTCTACGGTCCGCATCTAACTCAGCTCAGAGCACAATGGCCTCTTTATCATTCCTCAGAACCAGCAGATGCCCTCTTGATCCTTGGCATCTTCTCATTTCCTCTGCCCAGGCCATGCCTCCCCCAGCACCAATATGGCTTATGCTCTCACTTCCTCAAGTCTTTTCTCAAACATCTTACTTCCAGAGAGGCCAACCTAGAGAACACATGATTTAAAGTTGCAATCCTCCAGCCACATATGCCTGCTCCCTTCTCTGATTTATCATCTCCATAGCCTTATGTGTTATTTAATGTGTTTGACAGGGATATTGCATTGCTTTTTTCCTACTGAAACTCCAGTGTCTAGAGAGTGGCTGGCATAGTGTGGACCTCAATAAATTTTAGTCAACTGAATGAATACAGAGGGAGGAGCATGTTTGGGCCAAGTTCTGTAGCTGTAGTGGATAATCTTTGTCACAAGGGGGCAGCACAACAATATTAAGGGTTTGATAAATGCACAGTGTGTTTACCAGTTACACACACTGGAGATGAGTTTTCCAAACTCAGGCCATGAAGAAGACCCTACGTGGAAAAGGTAATCAGGAGTAGCAGAATCAACCTCTGTTTTGCTGTGTTATTACTGACCTTGAACATCACTTCACTCTCTGGACCTTGGTTTCAGCATATTTTAATTCAAGGTGTATTGGTAAGGATTCTCTAGAGGGACAGAACTAATGGAATAGATATATATATCTAAAGAGGAGTTTAATAAGCATTAACTCACATAATCACAAGGTCCCACAATAGGCTGTCTGCAGGCTACAGAGCAAGGAGAGTCAGTCGGAGTTCCAAAACTAAAGTTTTGGAGTCCAATATTTGAAGGCAGGAAGCATCCAGCACCAGTGAACGCTGTGTGCTGGGAGGCTGGGCCAGTCTCTCTTTTCACATTTTTCTGCCTGCTTATATTTTAGCCATGCTGGCAGCTTGTTAGATCGTGCCCACCCAGATTAAGGGTGGCCTTTCCCAGCCCACAGACTCAAATGTTAATCCCCTTTGGCAACACCCTCATGGACACAGCTGGAATCAATACTTTGCATCCTTCAATCCAATCAAGTTGACACTCAGTATTAACTATCACAAAGGGCTCACGCTTGATTTGTTAACTCTGATTTACTTCTGGTTCTGACATTCCATAATTCTAAAACAAACAGAAATCACATTGAAGTACAAACCCTACAGATGACCAGAAAGCAAAATGACAGCAGAAACTACAACCAAACAGCTAATGACATCACGATAGGATCAAAACCTCACATATCAATATTAAACTTGAATGTAAATGGTCTAAGTGCCCCATTTAAACAGGACACCCTCTCAGCTTCTCCACCTATTTTAATTTGACATTCAGGCTGGAAGATAGGGGCAACGAATTTCCCATAAAGTTGTATTTGAGCTACTGGAATTCAATTAAATACTCACAAGTTCGATAAGAAAGTCCCTTTTGCATGAAGTAAAACTATATTAGAGAATGAGCTTGACTCAATTTAGTTATTCCCACCTCTGCTTTTTTTTAATGAGATAGAGTAACATTTCCGGAAAGAGAATAAAAGCACCACTCAGGAAATACCAGAGCTCTAAGATAGCATCACTTGAATGCTATAGTTTCTTCTTATTACTTTTGGGGAGAAGCGAATGTACAGCAATTTGAAATACAGACGATATTGTATCCTAGAAAAGAAGCGATTTAAGTTTGCCCATGGGATGAAAAGTCCAAATTTTCTTTTCTTAGTACTATCATAGAAGAATTTCATTTTCTCCAACAGAAGCAGTATTTCCACAACAGATCAGGGGAGGGCAGTAAAGAGTTGCTGTCTGGTCAATAAAGTATTCATAAGACAGAAAAATTATAGTTTAAACTAATTTATCTTTATGTTGTATTGCCCCTAATAAAGTTCACTCACCATTTTGCTGGCTTGAATTAAAGTGTCATCAAAGGGTTCATGAAGATTACTGTGGGCATTGAGTTAGCATGGCATCTTGAAATAAAAACTCCTCAAATTGCATTTTACCATTGCATATGAAGCCTGCAACCATAGAAAAACAAAATGATTTTATCAGGATCAGGCATTTAAATGACTTTAATTAAATCCATATCTTTTGTGGTGTTACTAATTTCTATTTTAGGGCAATTCTTTCTCTTAATCCAAATATTTGGCTTATTTCAGAATATCTAATTCACATCCCTATTCACAGAATTTTATTCAAAGTAAAATCAACCTAGGAGCTTTGTGTCTTTGTCTTAGCTCTATAGATATGTGTGTGTGTCTCTGGTTGGAAATGTACAGGGCTGATAGAGAAATGGAGAAAGAATGCACCCGTACCGTACATCTGAAGAGCGCTAAATAAACTCATCTGTCTTTCTCTCTAATGTTCTGAGCAATATTAGATAGGGTACCTAGAATGCATCAAACTGTTAGGGGTGGCGAGTATCCAAGTTACAAGCAGCAAATTCATATGGACCTGCAGCCACCTCAATTCTTGTCTTCTCAGAAGAAAAAATTTGACTAAGGGGCATAAGGCAGAAGAAGAGACTGAGGCAAGTTTTAGAGCACGAGTGAAAGTTGACTCAAAAACGTTAGGGCAGCGGCATGGCTCAGTGGCTTATGCCTGTAATCCTAATACTTTGGGAGGCTGAGGCAGGTGGATCATCTGAGCTCAGGAGTTTGAGACCAGCCTGGGCAACATAGTGAAACCTCATCTCTACAAAATAGACCAAAACAAAAATTAGCCAGGTATGATGGTGTGCACCGGTTGTCCTGGCTACTCAGGAGGCTGAGATGGGAGAATTGCTTGAGTCTGGGAGGTGGAAGGCGCAATGAGCTGAGATCATGTCATTACACTCCAGCCTGGGTGACAGAATGAAACCCTGTCTTTATAAAAAAAAAAAAAAAAAAGAAGAAGAAGAAAAGAAAAAAAAAAGCTTTATAGCAGGAATAAAAGGAACAAAGAGTACACTTGGAAGAGGCCCAAGCAAGCAACTTGAAGCACAAGTGCAGGGTTTGACCTTTTGACTTGGATTTTTTGGTTTTGGTTTGGTTTGGTTTTGGTTTTTGGTTTTGGGGGTTTTTTGTTTTGTTTTGTTTTTTGTTTTTGTTTTTGCTTTTTTGAGACAGAGTCTCTCTCTATCACCCAGGCTGGAGGGCAGTGGCATGATCTTGGCTCACTGCTACCTCTACCTCCCAAGTTCAAGCAATTCCCTGCCTCAGCTTCCTGAGTAGCTGGAATTACAGGCACCCGCCACCACTCCCAGCTAATTTTTGTATTTTTAGTACAGACGGGGTTTCACCATCTTGGCCAGGCTGGTCATGAACTCCTGACCTCATGATCCACCCACCTCGGCATCCCAAAGTGCTGGGATTACAGGCGTGAGCCACCGGGGTTTTTTACGTTGACATGATTCTGGGTCTTCCGTCCCTTCTCCCTTGATTCTTCCCTTGGGGTGGGTTGTTCACAGGCACAATGACCTGCTAGCACTTGGGAGGAGAGCATGCGCAATGTGTTTGCTGGAGTTGTACGCATGCGCACGTGAGACACCCTTCTCTCTTGCTGTGGAATGGGCACAGAAGGTCATATACCCGTTAAAGTCCACCGTTTTGCCTCTTAGTGCATACGTGTGAGCCCACTTGCTAAACTCCTGAGATCTCGTCAGGAAGCTGCTTATCACCAGTTTCAGCTTTTTTCTATCTATGGGGAAAACTGCCTTTCCCTGGTGCTGGCTGTGAAGGATTATTATTTTAAAGAGGTAATGTGACAACTGCCTGACCATCACCTGATGGTCCCTAACTTTCCTGGTGCGGTGTGAGGGGAGCCCTCTCCTGCCCACTCTTACTTTTCTAGCCACCTACTAAAACAAAACCATCCAAGCCGGATCCCAGCTATGTTCTCCTGATACCTGGGACTTCCTTTGTAGCATTTATCAAAACTGTAATTATCTAATGATTTGAATTTTTTAAATTATCTATCTTCACCACCTAGAGTGCCCCACCTTCACCTCACTTCCTTCAAGGTTGTATCCCTGGCAACGCTCACAATGCCTGTTAATAGCAGAGGCTCAAGGATAGTCTCACAGACATCTTCAAATTCCTAGGACTTAGCACAAAGCATGTAAATCTAATGTTTCTTGGTTAAAACTTTGGGTACTGTGCTCTCTTCGGCAGCACATATACTAAAAATTGGAACGATACAGAGAAGATTAGCATGGCCCCTGTGCAAGGATGACACGCAAATTCATGAAGGGTTCCAAAAAAACAAGTTTGGCTACTTTAGTCTGTCTACAGGACAGTAAACAAAAAACATTTCATGCTCTCATAAAAACATTCTAGTGAGAGATGAGGGAATAGAGGTAATAGATACAAATGCCATATGCATGAATAGTTAAGCAATTATATCAGACAGTGACAAGCATGTGTACACAGACCCCTCTACCATGTCAGGGGTCTGCTCTGGGTAATTGATAGCCAAGCACAGAGTTGAAAGCACTGTCCCCTGACGAGCACAGAAGAGACTTCCAGACACAGGAACAGCTCATGCAAAGGTCCTGCACAAGAGTTTGGCAGGTTCAAAAGGCCAGTGAGACTAGAAGGAATTGTTGAAGGAAGGCATGGGAACAACCCAAGAAGTGCAGTAATAGAACAATCATTTAATAACAGACACAACGGAACCTGTTCTAACCATCCAAATCCATGGTGTTCAATACTCTTAGCTTCTGATTTTGCAACATTATGTGAAGCTTAGGGAAAGATTCTTTCTATAATGCTAATTTATGTATCAAGATTAAAAATTGCTTAGGATAAGTTCAATTGGGCAAGGACTCTTGAAAGGTAACACATGCTTGTTCATTACTGCACTATTTAACAAACACTTACTGCATGGTTTCTAGTGTCAGACCTTGTTCTTAGTACTGGGGACACAATGGTGAACAAAATAGAAAAAAAAAAGCACCTGTCTGCCGGGTGCAGTGGCTCAAGCTTGTAATCCCAGCACTTTGGGAGGCTGAGGTGGGCGGATCACGAGGTCAAGAGATCAAGACCATCCTGGCCAACATGGTGAAACCCCATCTCTACTAAACATACAAAAATTAGTCCAGGCGCAGTGGCTCATGCCTGTATTCCTAGCACTTTGGGATGCTGAGGTGGGTGGATCACCTGAGGTCAGGAGTTCATGACCAGCCTGGCCATCAGGGTGAAATCCCATCTTTTATAAAACTATAAATAAAAATTTTAGTAGTCCCAGCTACTTGGGAGGCTGAGGCAGGAATATTGCTTGAACCTGTGAGGTGGAGTTTGCAGTGAGCCGAGATTGTGCCACTGCACTCCAGCCTGTCACCTGGCGACAGAGTGAGACTCTGTCTGAAAAAAAAAACAACAACAACAACAATAAAAAAACAAAAAACCTGTCCTCATGGAGCTTATATATTATTGAGGGAGAGACAGCCAAAAATAAAAATAAAGATTTCGAGAAGGACTAGATCAAGCTTGTCCAACCCATGGCCCATCAACCACTTGCAGCCCAGGAAGGCTTTGAATGTGGCTGAATATAAATTCATAAACTTTGTTAAACATCGTGAGATCTTTTTTGCGATTTTTTTTAAAGCTTATCAGCTATTGTTAGTGTAATTTATGTGTGGCCCAAGACAATTCTTCTTCTTCCAAGGTGACCCAGAGAAGCCAGAAGATTGGACACCCCTGGATTAGATCATTTCAGCCATGACAAGTGCTGAAAAAGAAAAGCGCCAAAATCAACTTGGATAGTTGGATGGTTTCCTTTTAGCAAATAACCTGTCAGCCAATCAATCATTTAATAATAAGAGAGGTTCCTTTTATGCAGTAGAATAATGGAATGATTTTCTTCTTTATGTTTTCTGCATTTTCTAATTTTTTTACAGTGACAATGCTACTTTACTTATCAAATAAAAAATTTATTAAATAATACATAAAGATATTCTTGTTATCGTTTCAGAAATTAAAGACAAAGCTAAGGCTTCCTTTGCCAAGGAAAAGGAGACAGGCATAAACTCACATAATCAATCAACTTTGTTAAAAGTGACAGACTTGAAGTGTGTGATTCGGTGCCTCTGCTTCATAACTGGAATAAATTTTCTTAGAAAGTTATTTCTCTTCCCAGAAGAATAAGAAAACATACTTTATTATTTTAACACAAATTCCTCCTTCTTTTATTTTTAACAGAAATTCCTCTTTTCTTTAATTTGTGGGGGGAAAAAAGTGTTATCGGGAGGGGTACCCTTGTTAGGCCCAGCTGATCAAACAGATAATTTGCAATTCTATTGTAGATAAGCAGCAAGAAATATTTTTAGGGTTTGGTTAATATGTTATGGAGAAGTTAGTGGACCTCAATAGAATAAGGCTCTTATTTTAAAAAGCTTCTTCATCAGGTGTTCACACTGAGGGTCAAAACACTGCTGATTGCCATAAAACCTGAAATGAGTTATCAACACCTACTAAAATTGCTTCAGCAAGGCATATGGAATCTCCATGGTACAGTTCTCAGATAACAACACTGATGAAACCAATGTGTCACATTACTTTCAAATAAGCCTCCCCTGAACAATATGTGATAATGATGAGACACATGGGGACTAGCCTACTATATTTTTAAAGCATACAGTCTGTTTTAAGCAATGAAGTCTGAGGGATAATAACTAGAACAGTAAGATAGCAGAAAAATTCTGATTATGTTGATTAATCCTCCTCCCACGTGAAAGTATTATTTTCTGCCTCTGCTCTGTTAATGTACAAACATATTTCTAGACAAAAATTAATATAACCACTACAAAAACCTGGGAGCAAGTTGGGGGCTGGGGGAAATTGATAAAGTACCAAAACAGATAAAATTGATGTATCACATCTGAGTTTCAATATACTATAAATTTTTTCTTACCCAGGATTCTATCTCTTTTTACTCCCTCCTCCATTATAGAACCTCAATTTTAAAGAAAAATGTATTTTATAATGAATAGAATTTAGTAATTCTCAAGGAAAGGCAGGCATCTCTTGCTTGCAGCTCTTGCTCTTTTCCCAGGCTTTCTTATCTTTCCTTGAAAGACTGAGGAAAAAAAAGAAGAAAGAAAGAAAGGACGCCAAAAAAGAGAGTGTTTGGCACTACCCAGTCCAGCATCATGCGATGCTGATGTAATAGGCTGGGGCACCCTGACTGGCTGCCTCAGAACTGGTCATGCTCTCTTTCTCTTCACATATGGAGCAGCAATCAGCTTACAACTAAATCACATCTGAGCACAAGCTGTCTCCACAAAGCCAACCAAAGAGGCAGCATTCATAGGCTGACAAAGCATCCCTAAAGCCGGAAAGAAAAGAAGCCGCTGAGGCTGCCGGCGGGAGGCTTCCTACATTTATACCAGTCTGTTGGGGCATTGTGCAGACCACAGAGGGAGAGTAACTGATGGAATACCATCTGAAGGTCACACTTGGGTAAAGCTGCATGGTTAACATCAGGAGTGGGAGGGAAGTGTCAAGGTACAGAATAAACAAATAAAAAGACAGAGAAATAAAAACAAAAAGGAATTGCAGCCAGTGTGGTAACACCAAGGACTGGTAATGTCTGTTGCATTTTAGACTTCTGGTGAACTCAATCATTTCCAAGCAGAAATTCTGTGAATTGCATATAGTTTGCATGTCATTTATTTTTTAATGTAAGCATTAGGAAAAGTCATTTCTTGAAAGTACAAATGACTTTTGTTTGGAAACACTTTAAAACTTATAACACTGACTAAAGATCATCAAATGGTATCTAAAATATTGATTAACTATAATACATATGTTCTCCCTGGGCAGATGGTTTAATTCTTCATTAATTACAGTGACATCATTGGTGATCTCACAAATGGATTGTACCAGAAGAAATTTAGCTGCTCTGACTTAATGTGGCCCTGAGATTCTGAGCCTCTTCTCTTATCTACCAACCCTGCCTCTGCACTTGCTCCCCATCTCTACCTATGCATCTTTCTACCCATTCAGCATTCATCAAGGAGCTCACTAATTTCTTCACTGTATTTACCTTTCTCATCACCTCCTTCTTCTTCAAAAACTTCGACAATACCAAGTCACATCCTTTTATGACACTCTTTCAAAAGGACACTTGGTAGATCCATAAATGGAAGCTGGTGAACTCCAAGTTGATAGCATGCAAATGTCAATTTCCCTCTAATAGAGTAAACAAAATAAGAAAACCTTGAGCCTACTAAAAATTCAACGTCAGAGATACAGGGTTTTAGAATTACACTTAGAATAAAAAAAAGTTAAGAGATTAGTTCACACTTGTGTAGAGTTCATCTCATTTATTTAATAATATAATTTACAGTTAGGTAGTACTCCCCTTTTGTCAGATAATTTTATGGGTAAGAAAACTGAAGTCCAGAAAATTGCCAAATTCCTATGGCTAATAGTAGTGAAGATGAGATTCAAACTGTAGCTGAAGTTGATCTAGAAGTTGAGTTCTTAACCTCTATGTCATACAATGTATTTTGCCATTTTGTATTAAAGTATATTTAAGATTTTCTATCAGCCCTTCTAAGGTGTTTTAACTCCTGAGGGTTTTTTTGTTTTTTTTTTTTTTTTTTAATTAAAAGGCCCCTATAACAAGGCCCGGCGCGGTGGCTCAAGCCTGTAATCCCAGCACTTTGGGAGGCCGAGGCGGGTGGATCACGAGGTCAAGAGATCGAGACCATCCTGGTCAACATGGTGAAACCCCGTGTCCACTAAAAATACAAAAAATTAGCTGGGCATGGTGGCGCGTGCCTGTAATCCCAGCTACTCAGGAGGCTGAGGCGGGAGAATTGCTTGAACCCAGGAGGCGGAGGTTGCGGTGAGCCGAGATAGCGCCATTGCACTCCAACCTGGGTAACAAGAGCGAAACTACGTTTCAAAAAACAAAAAGGCCCCTATAACAAAGACAGATTACATATACATTTATTTAATACTTTTCTATGATCTGGGGCCTTCTGAAGTGAAGGCTCGACGAAACAGGTAAAACTATGTGTTTCGCATGTTAGCTCTCAGGAAGTGTGTAGCTGAGAAGTATAATCGGACAAAGTAGGTATCATCTAATGGTTAATAACAGGGAAAACCTGGTGAGGCTTGTTTGTTCAGATTCTTCTCTGAATCCCTGTGCCTTCAGAGATAAGGGAGTTCTTTCTTCTGGGTATGGGCAGGGCTCCTCTGGAATGAAGGGCCCATGACCTGTTTCAGGGTAGAAAGGTGGAAGAAAGTCAGAGGTTGACCTTTCTGGGTTTTATGACTTGCCTCAGAGATGGGCAACAAGAAGGTAAGAGTGACCTTTTGGCTTCCACCATTTTCTCATAGGCCAAGGTGCCATATTTTGGGGGTAACATGTTGTGAACCCCATCAGCATTTTAAAATAAATCTGTGAAAAACTCTTTAAAAGTATGATCACTCTGTAATGTGTCCATGAGATCAGGCCAAACTATTTTTTCTAGAATTCTCCTTACCGTATGTTTCTGGCAAGGGTGGTCACGCAAGACAGTCTTGTGGGAAATTGAAAGATAGAAGTGAGGTGGTGGCCACTTTGTAGCTCATAAATTTTGTTGCTTCTCTGCCTACTCACCTTGTTGGCATGGATCAGCTGCAGGACCTGCAACAGCTGTACCTGTCCCTGGATCTTCCTTCAGGTTCTCTAACTCATGGAACAGGTGTGTGTTTAGCTCTTCGATGAAGAGCACCAGCCTCTCCTGTAGCATCTCCACATCATTATGGTTGGGGGTAGTAAGAACTAATGTGGATCCCAGCCTGTTCTTGACTAAGCTCCTGCTTAAGGGATCCAGCTTGTTCTAACTCTCTGATTTTACATTCAGTTTCCCCTTCCAAATTGTCTGCTTTGTGGACTTGAAGCTCCAGTATCAGATGCAAAAGCTACCACCTTACAAAGGCTGTTTAACCAGATCCCAAAATTGCATACAATCAAATCTGTGTAACAAAACCTTTCTTTTACAAAAATAGATAGATAGACACCCCCTAATGGTTTTGCATCTCTGAATGAAACCTAAGCCCCATAGTGAATTGATACCCACCATTACTGATCTTAAAAATACACCATCTATTTTTTCTTCATTTTTTTCATTGTTTGCATTCATATGCTTATGCATTTTAATTCAAATGTAACGCATTTTTATTTTGCCCAAATGTGACCACTCAATAATAATTTTCTTCAACAAAAATAAGTATCTAAAATAATATTTTAATTATCTGTGGTCATAATGCTCTAAGGCATGTATTAAAATGTGTCTTGAGGCCGGGCGCGGTGGCTCACGCCTGTAATCCCAGCACTTTGGGAGGCCGAGGTGGGTGGATCACAAGAGATCCAGACCATCCTGGTCAACATGGTGAAACCCCGTCTCTACTAAAAATACAAAAATTATCTGGGCTTCGTGGCGTGCACCTGTAGTCCCAGCTATTCCGGAGGCTGAGGCAGGAGAATTGCTTGGAAGAGGCTGTCGAGAGCCGAGATCGCGCCATTGCACTCCAGTCTGGGTGCAAAACTCCAGTCTGGGTGCAAAAGCGAAACTCGGTCTCAAAAAACAAAGTGTCTTATGGATTTTGTTCTTATTCTTGTTATTAATAGCAAGCAAGTGATCAAAATTACAAGAATAATGCATAGTTAACTATTAAATATATATGTGGGCTAGCAATTGCTGCTACCCAAAACTCAGTAGATTCAGTTTGCTAGTTACTATTTTAATGTATGTGACTGTGGGGCAGCAGGCAGTCAGCTCTCTTCTGGCTGGTTTCGGCTGGGGCAGATCATCTGGTATAACTGTACCTCACAGATCTCTCATCCTCTCTTTCCACGAGCTGCCTAGCCTGGTCACTTCTTTGCCACAGCTCTGGCAGATGCATGGGAGAGAAAACAGAAACATGTAAGGTCTGTCGAGGACTGTACCCATAAGTGGCACAATGTCTCGTCCACCCTATTCTATTAGCTAAGGCAAGTCGCAAAGTCAAACCCTGAAGCAGGGGATTGGGAAATTTATAAGAAGAGGCATATAGTTAGTCTTCATCCCAGTTCCTGGCACAGGCTTCTAAAACCCTTGGAATTTTCGAAGTGATAAGGATGATAAAGATGAAAGGACTATTTTTTGTTATTTGTAACAATCCCCTTCAACCACACCTGAGTTTATGTTAATGAAGTGACTTTTGGAAAGCCCCGAAGGATGGGAACTGGTTGCTAGGGGAGCCATCCAGTGATTAAAGGGCTAGAAATTTCAGCCTCACCCTCTTATTCCTTCCTCCAGGGAGGGGAAAAAGGACTAGAGATTCACTTCATCATCAGTGGCTGATGATTTAATCAATTACGCCTGGGTAATGAAGCCTCCATGAAAAGCTAAAAGAGCGCAATTTAGAAAGCTTCCAGACTGGTGAACACACTGAGGTGCTAAGAGGGTGGCAAGCCTGGAGAGGGTGTGGAAGCTGTGCCCTTTCCCATAGACTTTGCCCTATCCATCTCTTCCATCTGGCTATTTTAGAGTTGCATCCTTTTACAATAAACTCTAATCCACCAAGTGAACTATTCTTGAGTTCTGTGAGCTCTTCTAGCGAACGACCTAACCCAAGGAAGGGACAATGGGAAACTTTACTTTATAGTGGGTTACTCGGAAGTGACAACCTGGACTTATGATTAACATCAGAAGAGGGATCTTTCTTGTGGGATCTAACCTGTGGATCTAACGCTGTCTCCAGGTAGATAGTTTCAGCCTTTAATAAAATTAAAGAGCATTCTGCTGATATCAAAGAACTGGTCTGTGCAGAAAAAAAAACTGCACATCTTGTGTCAGAAATGACATATTGAGAGCGTTGTGAGAGCATAAAGAGAGATTTTCCTACTCAGAAACATAATCGGCTACTTTTGTGAAAAGAACTGCACATTTTCAAGGCAAAGAATGAAAAAAGTAAAGAATTGAGGCCAATAGCATAGTTTATCATGTCATCTGTTAAGGTTATTGGTGGTACTGTGGGAAATTTTTTTTCTTTCCAATTAGCTTACATATTATAGATATGTCATATTGCTAGAATAAGACAGATGTGAGAATTTATTTTCTCCCTTAAAAATTTTTATTCGTGGACATATGTACTGAGAAACATTTACATAAATGATAGTTGGGGGATGTAATATTAGTATTGAAATATCAATTTATTCTTCTTTTTTCTTCTTTGTTTTTTGAGACAGCACCCTGCTCTGTCACCCTACTTCAGGTAATCCTCCAATCTCTGCTTCCTGAGTAACTGGGACTACAGGCGCATGCCACAACATCTGGCTAATTTTTAAATTATTTGTAGAGCTGAGGTCTCCTCATGTTGCCCTGGCTGGTCTTAAACTCCTTGGCTCAAGCAATCCGCCTGCCTCAGCCTCTCCAAAATGTTGGAATATAGGCATGGGCATGTGACCAATCCATTCTTTGAATTGTTTCCAAGTTAATTGCAAACTTCTATAGTGATCAATCATCATAATAATTTTAAATAATCTATCTGTATATATTGATAGCAAAGAATTATAAATCACCTGGCTTTCAAAAGGATTTGCTTATCAGTCCTTAGAGATGTTCACCTTCTTGACACTGTAATTTTTTTTTTTTTTTTTTTTGAGACAGAGTTTGGCTCTTGTTACCCAGGCTGGAGTGCAATGGCGCCATCTCGGCTCACCGAAACCTCCGCCTCCTGGGTTCAGGCAATTCTCCTGCCTCAGCCTCCTGAGTAGCTGTGATTACAGGCACATGCCACCATGCCCAGCTAAGTTTTTGTATTTTTAGTAGAGACAGGGTTTCACCATGTTGACCAGGATGGTCTCGATCTCTCGACCTCGTGATCCACCCACCTCGGCCTCCCAAAGTGCTGGGATTGTAGGCGTGAGCCACCGCTCCCGGCCTAACACTGTAATATTTCTAAGTGTTCCTTTATTTTGTATCTGAGAAATTTTTACATGGTGGGATCATCAATCATATAAAGATTCTAAATAGATAAGCAGAAAGCCTTTCTATGTAAAATGGGAGAAAAAATGGTTATGAATGGGCAGTAAGAAAGAATTGTCCTGGTGCTTTCAATCATAAGTGCTTCCTTAGGCATATAAATTTTAGCAAACATGCACCTAAAAAACTATTTCTATAATTATCTGGGCATGAAACTCTTTATACTCTTTAATTGCTATGGTAGCATAATCCTAGAGAATGAATACGTTTTGGGAATTTTATCAAGCACTTTCATCTATAATCAGGCAAACACACACAAATAATGCTACACATGCAAAACAAAACAAAAACAAAAAAAGAAACACTTCTTGGGCTTTTGACCTAGGTCACAACTTATTAAGGCTTTTAGGTGATTAATCCTACCCAAAAAACTTTCTTCATTTGCAACAAAAGCCAAATGTCCAAACTTTTCCTCTCCCAAATATAGCAGTGCAAACCACTACAATAGCCCCCACTTATCTGCAGATTTGCTTTCTGTGGCTTCAGTAGCCCAACTGCCGTTCAAAAATATTAAATGCATAATTCCAAAAATAAACAATTCATAACTTTTAAATTATGTACCATTCTGAGTAAAGTGAAGAAATCCCAACCACACACAAAAAATAAAGCTTTATATTTTTCTCTTCAAAACTTCCAAGGTAAGCTTAGAGAAGCAATCCTTTTTCTGCAGGAAAATGTAGCTTACCGTTATATAGACTACTCGTTGCAAAATTAATATATGAAAGAAAGAAATATTTTCTTCTGGATGATTTCTACAGAGGGACTGGAATCCCTTAAAGAGATATTGAAAAGGAAAGCAGACAGATTAAGCAAGATTATCCATTTACAGGCTCAGGAAGAAGCTGAAAATGACTGTGGGAACATTAACAACAACAATTCATACAAATCTTGAACTTGGCTTTTTGGGAAAACGAATATATTCTGCCCTGTGTTTATAGCATCTACTCCCAATCACCTCTGCAAGAAAGCCGTAATAAAAGCCGATTACCTCACAACATGCCACTAGAAAGAATGATCCATCTAGTTTCCATTGTTTACTGAGTTACAAGGGTTACCATGGTTCAGGAAGCCTCATTACAAGCGATGCTAAATATGCAGAGTGTGAATGTAGATGACATAAAGGCACCAGGGATAGGGCTGTATAAAATCCAATGGTTCCTTGTTTTACAGCAACAAAAGTTTGCTTAAATGGATGAGTATAGCAAGAGAGAGGAAAAAGCATCAAGAAAACATAATTAAGTTGCATTCTATATGAAATTCCATAAGCTACCAAAAGCAATTAAGAAACAGTTTATGACACTAAAGCAAAAAAAAAAAAAAAAAGGCATTTTAGAGATCTTGCCTTGGCAAAGGATTGTAAATAAAACAAGAAAACAAGTCTTACAAATTTTGTTCCTAATCTTTATAACTTAGTTAAATTATTCCATTATTTTTAAGATACAGACAGGAGGAATAACAACCATTGTAGTTTCAATAATTTTTGCTCCCTTTTGCTTTCTATTGTTTTGTTTTTTTAGGTACAATGTTTTTCCTGAATTAATTTTTTCATATTTTACATTTCAACTTTTTTTATTTTAATGCATATATATTCCTATATGTATCTATACATGCCTGTGCAAACGTGTATCTGTGTATTTCTATGCTAGTTTTATCAAATTCAGGAGACTTAACATTAATGCAATATTATACTACACACAGTTTATTTTCAATTTTCACCAATTATCCCAATAACATTCTTTATGAAATTTTTTGTGTCAATCCAAGATCATGCTTTGCATTTACTTGTCAGGTCTCTTTAGTCTCCTTTGACCTGAAATGATTCTTCCGTCTTTCTTTCTTTCTCTTTCATGACATTGACCCTTATGAAGATTACAGGCCAGTTGTTTTGTAGAATGTCCCTCACTGTGAATTTGTCTGACGTTTCCTTAACTGTATGTTCATTTTACGCATATTAGGCAGGAGTGGTATATCATTCGTGCATTGCAACAGGAGGATCAGCTGCTTGTCCCATCATTAGCGATGTTAACTCTGGATACTTGGTTAAGGTGGCATCTGTCAGGTTTCTCCACTGGAAAGTTACTGTTTCAATCTTTGTAATTGGTTTGTGAGCTGTAGAAAGAGACTTTGAGATAATACAGTATACTGTTCCTAATCAGACTTTCACTCTACAGTTTTAGGAAATATTGATGATACTTGCTTGAAATAATTATTACTGTGTTGGTTGAAAAATCATTTTAATATCTTTTGAAAAAATATATTAGTAGAAACTAAGAAAAGAGTTTTGAGTTGTGTCATCTCTCACTTTTATGCCGTTAGATGTATTGAGAGATACTAGTGTAATTTGATTAAATGTGAGATTTAATTGACTTTTTGAGAAATACAGAAATATTTCCTTCCCACTCACATATCGTTGAGTGAAAAGCCTTTCTTCTTGCAAGAATACCTTAATGTGTGTAAGTGTATGTGTGGGGGGGGGCAGGGGTGTTGTGTGTGAGGGGGGGTGTGTGTGTGTGTGTGCAGGAGTTATTCGTTTCTTCTGTTCAGAGAAAGTTCTGGGGCATGATATAAACCATATATGAGTGTGTTTTTCCTAATATAAGTATTGTTCTTGACATGCAATTGTAGGCTTTGTTTTTCTTTTCTTAACAAACTCATTGGGGGATAGGTGTCCAAGGGATGAATCTCCTTTTAATGTAAGATGCTCTGGGGACCTTGATAATTCAGCACCCCCGCAGAAACTTGAAAAGGATACCATAAACTGGAGTGATCGAGCTTGTAGGAACCAACTGTGTGCCTCCCTTAAAATGGATGCTTACTAGACCATGTTAAATGTGTAACTGACTGAGCCTTATTAAATATGTAATGGGCTGTTAGAAGATAAAAGAAAGCTTTCTAGCAACATACTTGAGCATCATTATGCATTTAATACATGAAAATCCGGACTGAAAAAAATATCCAAAACTTGAAAGGATTATATTTTACCTACTCTGAGATAGTGGAAAAAGGATGGGCTCTTTCTTATATGGTTCCTAAATTATATCTCGGTCAGAAGAAAAAGGAAACCAAAATATAAAATGGGAGGTTTAATGCAATAAAAGCTGATCAAGAAACATCATGTGGCGTTAGTGTTGGATGTGTTTTCAACTCACTAATAACAATGAAATGAGCATGTCCTCACAGGAAGACTGTAGCATCAGAAGAGTGTTTGATACTGAGTGCTCAGAACAAACAGACTCTAACAAGTCAAGGAAGCAAGAGGCATACTGAGCGTACACAGCATTTGGAACTACTGACAGGCAGTCTTGGAAAAAATCCATGGTCTAATTTAATTGCGAAAAAAAAACCTGAAATTGTTTTAGTAGAAGAGTTTATTATGTATTGCCCTGTGAATTTAATGAATTATTCATCAACATGGAAAGTGTTGGAAACTACATATTTGACTAGTATAATGGAATTATCACTGAACTTGCAGTCAGAAGGCTTGGGTTTGAGTTTCAGCTTTTTTACTTAATTGGGCATATCCTTTAAGCAGTTTACTTAATCTTTCTGAGCCAACTCTGCCCATAAATAATGTGGTGGATGGACTTAAATGCTTCTGAAACATTAAAATACTAATCGAATTATTTTTAAAGTCCATATACAAGATATATAAAATGCTATGCAGCTGTATTTAACAGTTTACATTTCCTTAATGAGTAATTTATGGATATGAGAAAAGATCAAACGGATGGTTGTAATATTTGAAATTCACTAGATATGCCAAAATGTTTTTAGGTGCGACTTCAGTGTCAAATGACATCTCTCTAGCAGCTCTTCTTATTGATACTCCTTGAATTCACAGTATAAGATGAAAAGGCACAGCTAGAATTTAAGTTTTAAAAAGGCAGGCATATTTTATCTGTGTTCCCAGTGCCTAAAATAGCACCTAGTATGTGGGGATAATTCCATAAACATTTGATGAACAAGTAAGTTAATTAACCAGGACTAAGTGTCATACTGTTGCCAGAATCTGAAAAGAATTACAACTGACAGTTGGGTGGGAAGACAATTACTGACCCCTGCACAATATACAATCAAACAATGAAAATCTGCTGCCTTGAAAGGAAAAGAAAATGCTTAGTTTTTACCCCTATATGTCCCACTGGCACAGAAGTACAAGGCATTCATAATACCAGCCAGAAATCAAGGAATATACCTCTCACCAGACAGAGTACAGAAACCTGTGTGTTGTTCTCCCTGCATCCTCAATAAGTCAATCTCTTTCTATGTAAAATTAGTGACTAAAATCGCTAGAAAAGAACTGGGCAAGAATTATGGAGGAGAAATGTTTGTAGAACTCTGCGAGATGTAGTCTTCTTAAATAAGATTATATGTATGTACGGAGTCAAGATGAGCCCAAATACTACTCCATGTGGGAAATTACGGATTTTCCCATAATTCTGATGTTTTAATATCTCAGACAACCAAACAGTAGAGACAAAAGAAGATACCAACTCAAATCCAGGGACAGTTTCACTGTAATTCGAATTTCACATTCAGGGTTGGTCAGGTAATTTACCATTAAGAATACAGGGCCCACGGGCAGTCAGTGAGAGCTCTAATCGGGAACTGTTACTCTTGCTAATTAGCATACTGCATCTCAGAAATGGGTTTTTATTGGTGAAATAGTAGCCTGTGGATTAGCATGTAGCATGATGAGACTCTCAATGATGAAATTAAAATGCCTCAAGTATGTAGTTTTGGGTTTTTTTGTTTTGTTTTGTTTTGTTTTGTTTTTTACAGAGACACTGACTCCTAATATGCATGACAAGGTAGAAGAACCTTGAAAGGCCAAAAGTCTTGCCTTTAGGGATGATGTCTTTGACTAAATCTCTACCCGCTCCTACCTCCAGAGGTGAACTCTTGAGGGATCTGAGCAGCGCCCCATCAAGCTATACTGGAACCTGAGTTCAGCAAAGAAAAGAAGTGTGCCCCTATATACATTTACAAAAATATTCTCCTATATTTTGAACTAAGTGAAAAAAGTTAATAACATCTTTACAATAAAAGAACATAGCCACATATAAAGGTCCATGTTATCTGCTCTGTTGCCCAGCGGGACTGCATGCCATTGGCAACCCCTCTAAAGCTGTCTGGTTACTTGGATATAACTTTTCTTGTTGCACAGCAACCCAGAGACATAAAACAAATAACAACCTGCCTTTACTTAACATTTCTGATATTTTCTTCATGACTTATTATTATTATTTAATTCTGCCTTAAAATACTACTCCTGGTAGGGTGTAGTGGCTCATGCTTGTAATCCCAAAACTTTGGAAGGCTGAGGCAGGTGGATCATTTGAGGCCAGGAGTTTGAGATCAGTCTGTGAAATCCTGTCTCTACACAAAAATTAACCAGTCTCATAACCCAGTCTCTAAATAAATAAATTAAATTCTTTTTTAAAAAGAATTTTTTTTAAAATATTACTATTCCAAGGCCGGGCACGGTGGCTCACGCCTATAATCCCAGCACTTTGGGAGGCCGAGGCGGGTGGATCACGAGGTCAAGAGATCGAGACCATCTTGGTCAACATGGTGAAACCCCGTTTCTACTAAAAAATACAACAAATGAGCTGGGCATGGTGGCGCGTGCCTGTAATCCCAGCTACTCAGGAGGCTGAGGCAGGAGAATTGCTTGAACCCAGAAGGCGGAGGTTGCGGTGAGCTGAGATCGTGCCATTGCACTCCAGTCTGGGTAACAACAGCGAAACTCCCTCTCAAAAAATAAATAAATAAATAAATAAATAAATAAATAAATAAATAAAATAATAAAAAATAAAAATATTACTATTCCTAATTACTGACTTTTTGGCACCTTCTTAAATTTTGCACCTGTGAAAAGTGTCTTACTACCCTGACTCTTAGCATAGAGAGTCTACAAAGCTGAAATATCTTGTCTTTCGAATTTCGGCATTTAGTTTTAGTGAACCTTTTATCCAAAGCAGTGCTCAAAGCACTTCATGGATGGAGAACTGGAGCTATCTAGAAACTATAAAATGAGTTGTACAAAATATTTATTTTAATTTTTTGTTGTTTTGTATGTTCTCTTACTAATCAATATTTAGTTAATAAATGTCTGTACGTGTGGTAATTTGCTGAAGCTTGCTTTCACTTTTACTTAGGGATGGCTACTGTTTTTACCAAACAGAAAGAGTAAGTTGACTCAGTTCAACCACAGTAACCAAAGAGACAATGACTGGAATGAAGCCATGGAAATAATGTAT